AATTTATATGCCGCCCACACTACCCAAAGGTCTCTGGGCGGCTTACAGCATTTAAAATACAATAAAGTTATGTAGCAATTAAAATACAATTAAAATATATATAAAATTGCCATCGGACCCACATATAATGACAGTTGCAGTATTTTTAAATACATTGATTAGAAGATACATATTTGCCACTGAATTATGAAAATGCGAAGGTTAGAATTTCTCTCATAGCCCCCTCATTAGAGGTTTCACAAGAGAAAAACATTTTGTAGGACCAATTACATTTGTATAAGCTTTAGAGCTCCATAAATTCATTTCCCTATGACTTTTAGAGCCCAATAAACTCATTTTCCTATGACTTTTCAGTGCATTGACCTGTAAAACTAGTGATTGGTCCAGAAGAATTTAATCTTTTACTGCTTTCCCTGTCTCATACTGATTCTTTTACCAAATGGTGATCTGTGTTTTCAGCAACAGCACAGTTTAAGGAGTTTGGCAGTGGTGTTTCAATCTCTGTACCTCTAACTCCTATTCTAATAGCCATTGTGATGCATACAGCTTGCTTAGAATCCTTGAACTGGCTCAAATGCTTGTTTTCAGATTTGTACTGTACTAGACATATCATGAAGATTAGGTACAACATTGCGCATAAGCATTTTCTTAGGCATTTATGTCCCTTATATTAAATTTTAGATTGTAAATTTCTTAGAGCAAAGATCTAACCTCTTGTTTTCTGTGAATTCAATGCATGTGGGTGGCACTACATGAAGAAATGGTTTATAATATAATTGAATTTTCTCCCTTATATAAATGATTAACTTACAAGCCTAGGTTCATAAGGTTTAGAGCTGTCATATACCTTTTGTGTGCATGCTTTTGGTTTTTCTAGATTTTAAGAAGTTGTTGGCACTGCTGATCTGCTGTATGTGGTGGTACACTTCAATCTGAAATTGGGCATCTTGAGTATGTGCTATACTTCTAGAAGCACTTTTGAGAATTTGCCCCACTTTAAAAAAACTGGGTATAGGTCAACAATGTTCCCTGTATTTCAAAATAATAACATGCTTATGTGAAGCCCATTTTATTCTGAAGGTAGAGCATGCCAGCTATGTTGTGAGCTGCTAAAAGCTTGGTTAAACAAGAGGGTACAGTCAATTGAGGATCCATATCCAAGCCCGCTTCTTGATCCCATCACTTCTACAGACAAGTGCAGAGGGCCTTCTCGGTTACTGCTCCCAGGTTATGGAAAGCCCTCACCCATCTCTTATTTCCTGTCGTTTTGGAGACCAGTGAAAACCATTCTTTTCAGACAGGCTTTTAATATATAATTTTAATTTAGTTAGGTGCCCTATCATTGCTGCTTTTATATCCTTTTAAATATTGTTACATTTTTAAACTTGTTTTTGATGGGGATACAAGAGAGGGTGTTCTCTGTTGCTGCTCCCAGACTTTGGAACTCCCTCCCACAGGAAGCCAGGCTGCCCTGTCCTTGCTGTACTTCCCCAAGCAGGCAAAGGCCTTTCTTTTCAGTCAAGCTTTCCCTTAGTAAGTGGCTATCTAGGAGACTTTAACAAAAGATTGTACTTGCTTTTAAATCTGTTTTTAGTAATGCTTTTATTTACTATTTTTAATATAATGTTTGCTTAATTATTTTTAAAATTTCTAATAATTTATTGTTTTTAGTTTTTAATATTGGTTCTTTTTAATGATGTAAACTGCTTTGGGTCCTTTTTAGGAGAAAGGACGGATAAAAATATTTAAATAAATGTTAATATTTCCATGTTTTATATATTTTTAATGCTATAATTCTTGTTTGCTTTAAGTATGTGTGAGTTGCCCTGAGTCCCTTCACTGGAAGAAATTTATGTATTGTATAAAATGCAATACATAAATGAAGAAATGGACAAATAAACAAATAATAGCATGTTAATAGAGGTCTGGAATTGCAAACTGCATCAGTCAGAGAGGCTGCTGTAATCCCTTCCATTTATGTAACACACATTTTCTGAAGATGTCTGATAATGACCGTTTTCCCCACCCTCGTACTCCTCGTTCCCTCATGTGCTGGTCTTACTGTAAAAAAGTTCAGGCATATGATGTTGACATGTACTTCCTGGCCTCGTCAGTCGGTCGATTGAGTATAAAAATGGAAAAGATAGATACGCTGCTTGCTTTGTATACCACAATATTTCAGCTGCTCTGACAACAATCTATTTGTTTTCTGTTACACTACAACTTCTTAATCAGTCTGTCTACTGAATTAGTAAAACAAGTGACTGGTTTGAATATCTAAGCCAACTATTCTTGAAACCCAAGGTCAATAAAGATGACTACATCTCATCATGGTGCTTCTGGTCAGTTGAAAAGCAGATCAAGGAATAGGGATGCAGCTTGTGTTGGATGGGGTTATACTTCCCCTGAAAACAGAGGTGCGCAGCTTGGGGATGTTCCTCGATTCATCCCTGAGCCTGGATGCCTAGATTTTGGCAGTGGCCAGGAGTGCATTTGCACAATTAAAACTAGTGTACCACCTACATCTGTTCCTTGAGAGATCTGATCTGGCCACTGTGACACAAGCCCTAATTATATCCTGGCTACATTACTGTAACACATACTATGTGACACTGCTGATGGAAAACGTCAGGAAACTTCAGTGAATCCAAAATGCAGCAGCCAAATGTCTGACTGGGGCTGGCTACGGGGATCACATAACCCTCCTGTTACAGCAGCTCCACTGGCTGCCAATCTTTTTCCAGGCACAATTCAAAGTGCTGGTTTTAACTTTAAAGTCCTAAGTGGCCTGGGCCCAAGCTATCTCAGACTGTATCTTCCATTATGAGCGGCTCAGTTTTTGAGATATCAGTTCTGCCACCTTCACAAGTGCATCTGATGGGGAGAGATTGTATCTTCCATTATGAGCCGGCTCAGTTTTTGAGATAATCAGGAGAGGCCTTTCTCTCAGTTCTGCCACCTATACAAGTGCATCTGATGGGGACACAGAAGGGGGCCTTCTCTGTTGTTGTTCCCAGACTTTGGAACGCTCTCCCACAGGAAGCTAAACTGGCACCATCTGTCCTTCCACAAGCAGGCAAAGACTTTTCTGTTCAGGCAACCGTCCCCTTAGTGAGTGTGATTTTTAGATGGACGGTTATGGTTTACTGTTTTTACTGGGTTTTTAGTACTACTTGTGTTTACCATTTCTCAGAGTGGTATTTGTTCCTTTTTAATACCGTATCTGTATGCTTATTGGTTTTAGCTTTAATATTGATATTTAAAATTGCATTTTAATTACGTAAGCTGCCTTTTTATACTTCAGTATCTGTATGCTTATTGGTTTTAGTTTTAATATTGATATTTAATAATGCATTTTAATTATGTAAGCTGCCTTTTTATACTCATTGTTCTTAGTTTTAATTTGGGAATGCAGACTGGTTCGGGTGTGCAGGCTCTGTATGTGGGGGGGGGTCACGCTCACACACATGCTTGCAGGTCTGACACGCCCCTGCGTGAGCATGACACGCCCCTGCGCAAGTGTGACATGCCCCTGCATGAGTGCAACACGCCCCCCGTGAGTGTGACAGCCCACGGACTGCCACCAGGCTGCGGACTGGGGGTTGGGGACCGTGAGTGTGACACGCCCACCATGCGGGCTGGGGGCGGAGATCCGTCTCCGTGGTCCAGTTCCGTCAAGCCCACGGACTGGCAGCAGGCTGCGGACTGGGGGTTGGGGACCCCGATGTAAACCACCGTTGTATACTCATGGCTTTCAGCTTTATATATTGTCTTTCAATCATGTGACCTACCTTGGGTACTTTTAAAGGAGAAAGGCAGGATAAAAATATTTTAAATAAATAATAAATCAATAGGTCATTGCCGCTACTGTTAAGGGACCCTATGACAACAATGAACTTGGGGAAGTTCACATTCTGTCGACGTGATGAAACATTTTCACCTGTCTAAATGCTGTGCTTAGGGCAGACCCTGCCCCCAGAAAACTTTGATCCCTGCTGAAGCCACAGATCAGTTAAACTTTCCAGTGCATTTCTCTTCAGCCATTTTGCCTTTTAAACTGTCTTTGAAGTTATCTTGTAATACCCACCTTGAGACCAGAACTGGTGTCATGGAAGAACGTAAAGGACGTTCCCCGACTGGCTTTGTTCCTCAGTGGTTCATCCACCCACTCAAGTATATATCCAGCTGAGTGAATTCAGTGCATCTGATGGGAGGCCATCCGCCTACAATTAGTAACAACAAATGAAATATGTTAATCTTTAAGGTTCCCCAGTAGTTTTTCCAAGGGAGGTGTGTTAATCTATTCAGAATCTATTCAGCAAAACATTTGCATTTTGTTATTTTTGCTGCAAAAAAAATTAACATAGCTCCTCCTATTTAAAAATGTTGCAGTTGTTACGTGCTGTCGAGTTGCCTCCAACCTATGGTGATCCTATGAATTATCAACTTCCAAAATTTCCTGTTCTCAGCTGTCTTGCTTAGGTCTTGCACACTCAAGACCATGGTCTCTTTTAGACTGACTCTTTAGGGCAGTGGCAGCCTTTTTGGGCTCTCATGCCGAAACTGGGAAAAAAAACCAACAAAAAACTAGGGGGCGACATGCTGCGGTGGTGGTAGAAGGGGGAATCCTGGGCACAGAGGTGCCTCAAGATCTCACTCCAGATCCACCTGCTGAAATGCTAGCACTGCAGCTGCAGCCACCTTCTCAGGTTTGGCTGTGCAGGGGCTGAGTAGAAAGGGCTCCGTGTGCCAGCTGTGGCATGCATGCCATAGGTTCAC